TGACAACTTCATGGTAATTGATCTAAAATAACTAGTTTAATATTATAACATAGGTATTCAACTATTAACAAATATCAAAATATTGTAAAAATATTTTTGCGAAATATTCGTGTATGTTAAATAATGTACTTAGGATTCAATGCTGTCGCCTTTTGAAGCAGAGTTTTATCTCAAAGAGTTCATTTTACACTCTGAATATTATAAATTTCAACCACAAGAGGGATACCTAACTCGTCAACAAATATCAGTTGTATTCAAACACTTATTTTTTAAAGATGGCGATATAGCTACAGCCGACAATTTAATTAATAAATTTAAAGGCAAAAATGGCGGTAATAAATTGAAGTTGACGTGGCGTTTTACTATATGTTGTCAATTTTTTTTATTTATTTGATTTTAGACGACTTTGAAATAGATGTAGATAAATTGTCGGATATCCTGTCGAAAGTTAAACTAATTAATGAATTAAAAGCTAAAAATGGCGGTAATAAATTGAAGTCGAGGTAGCGTTTTACTTTATGTTGTCAATTTGTATTTTATTTGATTTTAGACGACTTTAAAATAGATGTAGATGAACTGTCGGATATCCTGTTGAAAGTTAACCCACACGTAAGCAAATCCATTGTTTTTTTAAGAGAGGTGGATAGTTGTAGAATAATGCGCACAGATAAAAACAAAATACACTTCCCCCTTCCTTCCTCTCTAAATTTTAAACTTTAATAACTTTAAAAGTAATAATCCAAAAATGGTTATCGAACAGCCAAAGTGTCAGTTAAATTATTGTTTTAAAGGTTAAAAAGGTCGCTTTTTAACCCGTGCCCCAAAGGATTTCGACACTTGTGCAGAAATGAATGCATAACTTTTTTCCTATTCCTTAGTTTAAGCTATAGTTCTGACAGTTTTATAGCTTGAAGTCTTCCGAATACGAACACCATACCCAAAAGTTCATACCTGTCAAAATTGCTGCCAGAAAAGGAAAATTTAACTAAAAATTGGCGTATTTGGATACTTTTTTTAGTGTCGAAATCCTATGTTAAATCCCATTTAAACTTTTGGGGCACGGGTATAAATTAAAATTTTTCAAATTGTTTTTTTTAAATGTTTTTTTATTGTATTTAGAAACTTTTTAGGGGGCGTCGAGGTTAAAATTCGAAAATAGACTTTTTAAGGACCACCCTAATATATGTTACCATTTAAGTTTCAAAAATTGTTAGAGCTATGGGTAAAATTAAAAAAGGTTAATACTTCGGGTATTAACCTTTTGACCTAAGGTCAATTGTGTTTATTTTATTTTAATATTCACATACTGTTTTTTATATTATTCATATGTTATGCTAATTAATTTAAGATTTTTTTTTTATTTGCATTTAATAAAACGGTCAAGCTATAAAAAGCTTATAGTGAATATTTTGAGGATTTTTGGGGTTTTAAATCTTATTAACTAAAAATAATAATACTAATTGATAATTTCCCAGTGATGTATTTCTAAAATTATTGCGTATAATTTTTCCTAAAATAAATACATATCTATATTATATATAATATAATATAAATAATAATATATATATTTATTTATTTTAAATATTACATATGTGTATAGGTATGTGAGTCTTCAAATGGGACTAAGTCTGACATCATTAAGATCATTGGAGAAGACAAAAAGCTGACTTATAAAGATCTATTAGTTGTATTTGAACGATTAGGAGTTGATAAAAATGATAAGTCATGGGTAGAAATATTATGTAAGCACATTTATACTAAAAATAGTGATATTAAATTTAGGTCGAGGATGCGGTTTAATTCAAGTTGACAATCTTTATTTATTTAATTTTAGGTGGCTATGTAGTTACCGCACCGGAATTCTTGTTGATCATAATAGATATTCTACCGGAAGTAAGCAAATATTTTTGTGTTCAAAAAAAAAGTTTCTACTAATTGTAATTTTTGAAAATTGGCCATTTAAATTTGTCTGGTTAAAAAATGAATGCGCGATGTTGTTTAAAATGCAAAAGTTAAAGGAACATTACAAAATAGTAGTTAATAAATCGTTAAACATTATACACATGCTTAAAATGTTAAATGCATCGACATTTTTGTAGAGCTATCTTATATATTTATCCTTTTTGCTTACATTATAGGGCAATGGTCTAAGCGAAGCACAAATAGGACAATTAAATGCATTGTATACACGTCGTCAAACTGCATCTGGTTCAATTGACAAAGAATATATTCAACCCGTCTTCGAAGCTTTTGAAATGGCTACTACGGAGCATAACCCGTTATTGAAATTTAAAACTGACCGTAAGAATTAAATATAAATATATTATATATATTCACGTTAGATAAATTGTGATTTTGTATGTAATACATAATTAAAATTTGCACAGGACCCGCTGCTAAAGAGTTGATGGATTTGATGCTGGTTATGGCAGAACGTTCTAAGACAGATCACGGCGATGTAATATAATTTGTTTTTCATCAATTTAAAATTCCTTTACTCTCATCTATTACTTCCCTAACATTTAATTATCCTTTACGCTGTATATGATTTTATTTTGACAATTCTTCAGGATGAGGTAGTTTTACGTACAGATGATGTCAGAATATTATTATTTCAATTCACACAATTTGATAAAGACGGAAACGGTATACTTTCCGAAACGGAATCGACAACATTCGTGAACGAATTTCGCAAAAATAACCCGGGTGTTAAAAATATATACAGTTTTGATGGTAATTCACTAATTACACGTTAAAGAGTTAACGATGATTTTTGACCATCTCTTAATAATTTGTTATTTTGCATTTTAGATAAAGAAATAAACATCGCGGAATTCTTTTACTTCCACATACATTGTAAACATCAAGGCAACAATATTAATTATAATATTTGAAGTATTTAAATTTATTTATCAATTATAATATTTTAAATGTATTTATTAATTTTAACATTTAAAATATTGCCGTTTTATTGTCTATCATACTAAAATACAATTATTTTTTTTTGTCACGGGATTTGTAATAATAAGTAATATAATGATTAAATCCGTGATTAAACGATTCAGTACCTAAATGTATTTGATTTTAATGAATAAATAACCTATTATAATTTTCGTAACATTATTTTTTCTGCAGTCAATAAAAAAAAAATTCGAAATTAGTTTTTTTTCATGCAAAGTGATCCAAGACGGCGCACTTTTATCCGAGTTCTTCCGGCGCTTAGATCACTTGTGTTGTATTGAAACTTAAAATCATAACATTATGAGTACCTAGTATTTCATCAGTGTTTTATTATTACCTAGCTTAAATAGGTCAATGCGATGACGACCGGTCTCGTTTTTAGGTATGTGCGTTGTTTAAAAATCCAAACTGTTAGCATGAGTTCCTGGTACACGTTAGTGTTTCGTATACCTACTTTGCCGGTATCAGCTAAACGGAACCACAAATCGACATTAGCGGTGACCACGGTAGGTGTAGACTATAGTGTACCTACATCGTAGACGTACCTGTATAAGAACAGCCGTAGCGTGCACCAGGCTCCCCACAGACCAGTTGCATGCGACCCTGGTACACCTGATGTAAACCGGACTATCGAAAATAAGATACCGATCACATTGAAGAAACATAGACTTTTACTATATTATGCTACCTACTAAAATATTATAAAAATATTATAAAATATTGTTAAAATATGCTACCTACAAAATACAACTGACTACTATGATTATACCACTTATTATTATACTACACAGTGTTGATGGATTGAAAATATAATATTATCGACGACTTAATTTTTTTCTTTGTTAAGTATGTACAAAAGTTTGTCGATTTTGCAGAATCAAAATTGTTCAAAACACAATGTATAATACAACATCTGAGAACCCAGTTTCCTGTTTTATACCATTCAATAGTTTCTTTTGGTTGGAATTTAAGTCTATCTGCCTACGGTAAAGCCAATGTTCCTTCTCGGCTCCATGTCGAAGATATTACCATATTGGATAAATGTAATTAATTTAAATAAATATTTAAAATATTTTATATGCAAAACAAACTGTACACTGCACATTTTAACAATTGGATCTACATAAAAGATGTTTCACATTGTTTTGACAACCCAACATCATAACGAACATGTAATAGGGTGGACCAAAACACAATTTTTTAATTTTTACTGTTCATCTCTTGACCATTATGTTCTTTTGAGTAAAAAAATATTTCCCTATATTTTTAAGATTTTTAAAACTACTTTTAGAAGCTGCGAGCATCAGTTTTCCAAAAAAAAAAAATGTTTGTTTTTTAGTTCTTCATTTTTTTAAGTTATAAATACTAGTTTAAACAGATGTTGTTTGTATACAAAATCATCAGTAGAAAAAGTGGAATAAAGTATTTTTTTTTTTACAAAATAAACTATTAATAAACTTATTTACAAGCCTAAGAAAGTTAAATTTATGAAAACTTTGATAAATTAACCATAAATAGTATCCTTAAGTATTTTTTATAAGGGTTAAAAATATTTTTAACTTAGTCCTCATTTAATTGCGACGAAATCTGATATACTGATATAACATATTATTCCTACAATAGATACAAAGTTGTCAGTGTTACATGATACACATTTTTTAATCAAAATATCTAAATACTAGAAGATTAGTTGGGTTTAAAATGTTATATAATTAAATAAAACCATAATTATGTATAGATATTGGATAATATTATTTTCAATTTTAAAGCACACGGTTTGACAAATTTTATAAATAATAGTACACCATAACAAAGTAAAAAAAAAAAACAGCAAGTATATACAATATAAAATATTTTATTATATTTTATGAAATTCTCCAGTTACATTATGGATAGTATATTAAATACGAGCATCAGTTTGTCCAATAATAGACCGCAATCAAATGAGTATTCAGCGAAATTAAAATATTTGGGAAAACAAAGATGTCGAGGGAACAAAAAACAAGTTCACTGAAGAACCAAAAATGTTCACCGGTTCATAATATTTGTATAAGTTTAATTATAAACAATCATATTTATATATATTTATCATTTTAATTGTTATCATCTAAATCTAGTTATTAAAATTTTAGAAAAAAAAAATATTCCTAAAATAACATTTTAAATTAAGTTTCTATCAAATTTAAAAATCTAAAAAGTACTTAAAATTTTTTATGAACTACAAATTAGAATCTTCCTCATCGTCTTCGTCATCACTGACTTGCTTCTTCTTCTTACGTCGATTAGAAGTTCGCACTTCGGAACCTTTACCGCGGTTTTTCATTTTCAGCTTCATTTTAACCGAAGACGATGTTGTATCAGCATCCGACACTTCGTCTTCACCTGTAAATTGTGAAAATCGAGAATTCAATGAAATGGGCAGTTTAAATATTATTAAAAAAAAAAGTATATTTACTTTTAGTGCCTTCTTCTGGCCCAGATTCACTAACGTCAGTAGTCTCAAGTCGTTGACGAGTGTTAGTAAACACTGATTGTAAGACTATAGAATCTTCATGAATCAGTGAAGCTTCTTCATTGTATATTTGTGCATTCTTACATAGTTGTGTGAAATCTGCTTCGAGGTCATTTAAATCGGCGTACTAAAAAAAAAGTTTTAAGTATGAATAAAATACAAAACAAATATTAAAAAATACCAAACAAGCGAAGCATACTTTTCCGTCTTCGATTTTAGTCATAATTTTCTTTATGTCCATTGGTTTTTTTATTATTTCATAGTAGTCAGGTAGTTTGTGTCTGGACGGCAACTTCATAAATGGTTCGCTTAATATTCTGGAATCAGCGTCCGTATACTTGACAACAATATTCATGATGGCTTTCATTTTTTTACGGAGCTTCATTTCTTCGGGTCCAACTGTTTTGCGTCTTCTAATCGGAGGATCGTCATCATCATCGGCATTTCTTCTTCCCCTTTTTTTCCCCCGGTTGCCTTTGCGATTTGATTTAACTTCTTCTTCTTCATCTTCATCGAAATCTTCGACGTTTTCATCGATTGCTTTTAACCATTCTTTTTCCGTCAAACTGTCTGTGTAATCCACTTCTTTACGAGCGCGAGAACCCCGTCCCATTATTTCCTCTGAATCTTCTTCATACGTCCATCTTTCGACCTAGTTTAACACAATTAAGATATAATCTTTTTATAGCAAATATATTATTTAAATAATAACAAATTACCTCATCTTCATCTTTAACAAGCCATTCTGGTAATTCTGAAATTTCAATGAGTCTGGATTTTCGATTAGGACCAAGTTTTGCGTCCTCTCTCCTACGCTCAATATCCATTTTTTGGAATGATTCAAATTCGTCTACCGACCGAGCAATCATTTGGTTCACAACTTCGTCATCTGGTACTTCATTTTCTTCCTGAAAAGTAATTAAATTATTAGTGTAAAACATGAAATTATGTACATGTGATATTTTTTAAAGTGATCCACTCAATCTCATAGGGTGTAATTAGTAACGGAATTTTTATTTTTCATGGTGTTTATTTACAAAGTTGATCTTAGTTTTTCACAAACCTTTTAAAAAAACCCTTCCTAATTAATTAGTTATATATATTAACTTTTGAAACTTAAATAGTAACGTACATACTTTATCAAATTTGTAAATAAATAATCATTTACTTAACATTTTAACTGGTCGATAACCAGTTTTGGATAATTATGTTTAAAGTTATTAAGTTAAGTATTATGTTTAGAACGGAAGGAATGGTGGAGTGTAGATTATTATTTTTTTTGTGCGCATTACTCAGTTATTTAACAGCAAATAAGCAAAATTTAGATAAATATTTTAAGCTGTTATAATGCAAAACATCAATATTTGGAAAATAAATTGTTAATTAGTAAATAATAAATCAACTAACAATACAATTATTATTCACATTATTTTTTATGTATAAATTATTATGTAACTTGAAAGAACTATTATATTAAGTCATAACTTTTAATTTTTAATTTGAATTTATAAAGTTTGGTTTATCTTGTTTAAAATTGTTAAACAAATATGTTCATATTTTAAAAGTAATTATAAAAATGATTTGATTTTAATATATATATATTTTATTTTTGGCCAGAATATCCTACAAATATTGGTTACAAAACATTGTTGAAATATTTTCATAATATTGTACATTATAATATGTTAACAACTACTTTTAAAATATTAAAAATGTTTTGGCCATTGAGATATTATATTTATAAATTATTAATAAATTGATTTCAGTTAAATTAGAATAATACCTACAATTTTTATTTTTTAAAAATTAAACCCAAGTGAAATATTATTATTTTACCTCATCATCACCGTCGTCTTGGTGGAGAATAGAATGCAGAAACTGTTGTCGTTCCGATCCTGTAGATTTTTGATCAAACATACCAGCTTGGATAACTTTCTCATCCATGTTTAATTTATAACGCGCTGCAGCCAAAATACGTTCTTCCACGGAATTAACAGTCATAAGGCGCAATACTCGAACTTCGTTCTTTTGACCTATACGATGGGCACGATCTTGAGCTTGTAAATCCTAGATTAGAAAATTGATTAAATATTTATAAATTAAAAAGTTATTAGGCATTAATGGTGTTTTACTTGATGGGGATTCCAATCCGAGTCAAATATAATAACCGTGTCGGCCGCTTGTAAATTCAAACCAAGACCGCCGGCTCTTGTACTCAACAAGAATAAAAAGTATTCACTGCCAGCACTATTAAATTTCTTCAACAGATCACCTCTGTCTTCGGCTTTAGTGGTACCATCTAATCTTAGATATGCAAATCCTCGCCAACCTAAATAATCTTCCATGATGGTCATTAGCTGTGTCATTTGACAAAACAACAAAACTCTATGATTGGTGGCTTTCAGTTTTGGTAAGATACGATCCAGTAATTCAAATTTTCCAGACACTCTGTATAAATCCGGTCTGTAATAATATAAAAAATTGTTATCAACCAATGTTGGCTAACTTTTTTTTTACACCAATATTTATGTCAATAAATACCCCTGAATAACATTGCCAGCAGTTCCGACATGTTCACAGAATTTTTCTTCGATACTTTGGAACATGAACGGATGGTTGCAAAGCTTACGCAACTGAACGATAGTGTTCATAAGAGCCTTTGCACCACCCTTGCCTTTGCTGCCCTTTTCCGTACCATCGGTGAGCAGCACACCTTTACTCTGCATGTGTTTGTACAACACTCGTTGGAGACCAGACATATCACATTTGACAATATATTCAACTTTATCGGGCAACTGTGATTCCACTTCTTTCTTTAGACGACGTAACAAGAATGGACGTAACACTTTGTGTAAACGACGAATAATCAAAATAGTTTCTTCTTCGTTTAATTCCACCTAGACAACACATCATATTGAAATAATACACAAATATATTACGATTAGGGTTTCATACTTTTTCTCCTGTAGTTGCAAATGGTGCGTTAAACCATTGTTCGAACGTGGAACAGGATTTGAAAATAGATGGTAGTAAAAAGTTAAGCAGAGCCCAAAGTTCTGGAAGTTTGTTTTGTAGAGGTGTACCAGTCAACAGTAGTCGGTGTGGAGCATTGTAATGAGTGTTTAGGACTTGAGTTAATTTACAATGATGATTTTTCATACGATGTCCTTCGTCAATAATCATGTATTTCCAGTGCAACTAAAAAAGTTATCAGTTAATAATTCCAATTTTACAATAAATTAGATTAAAGTACTCACTTTGGCCAAAACTGCTTTATCCTTAATGACGTACTCGTATGTTGTTAATAACACATTGAATTTAGAAGAACGCATTTGTGCTTGTAATGTGCGACGCATAATTGGGGAGCCTTTATATGCGACCACACAAACAGATGGAGACCATTTTTCAAATTCCAATACCCAATTGGATAATGTTCTAATTTAACACAACACAATTTATAATTATAGAAATACATAATTAGTAGTAGGTGTATTCAGAGTTCAAAGAGTTTAATGGAAATATTTTACTTAACCCTTGATTTGTCGCACTTTCAAAGAGTTCGATTAAGGACACCTTCAAAAGGATCTACTAGACACCGTGCGATCAAATAAGGATTAAATGATGAATAAAATCGAAAAAAATGTATTCAATCACATATTTAAATAATTTGTTATTTAATTAAAACGTGCCAAAATTATTGATGATTTTTAATTTATTAATAAATAACATTGATTAATGAATAACATATATGAATAATAAAAAAATGTATTTATAAATCGACAAATAATGCATAATGATTTCATTATGCATAATGAAAAAATAAAATTACTCATGAATAATTATTATTAAAACAAAAATGTATAGTATAATGCCCATATCTCATTTAAATAAATTGAATAAACATTTGGGTATTTGAAAAATGCCAAACTGATTGTATTAAGCATGAATACTTACGACAAAGGCACAATAATTAAGAAGGGTCCGTTGACTTTCTTTTTTTCCATAAGATAGGTAATTAGTCCAATAGTTTGAATCGTTTTTCCTAAACCCATCTCATCAGCGAGTATTCCATTTAAGTTATTGTTAAATAATGATACCAACCATTCGAGACCCTGTGAAAAGTAAAAAAAAAATTGTATAAACACTAGTTTACCTGTTTTATGCAAGCAAACAGAAAAAACAATTACCTTTATTTGGTATTCTTTGAGATTACCGTTAACTAAAATTGAAGCTTGCTCAGTAACACTTTCATGAATTGTATGAGCAATACTAAGAAATTAAACAAAAATACATTTAATAATTAATAAATTAATAATATTAATCATACTCGTAATTAAATAATATTTAACCTGTAATAAGTATGTTCTTCAGATGCATTTTTATACTCGTCATCGTCCATTTTGGTCTTTTTAATCGGCTCTGGATCATTTTCCTTTTCGACAGTTGTCTTTTTGCTTTTTAGGTTGCTTCCTTCTTCGTCGTCTTGTTCGTCATCGTCTTCATCATCTGATGCTTCAACTACTTCCCAACCTGGATGAGCTTCCAACCAGCTGTTCAATTGTGACGTCAATGGAGCTTCTTCTCCTTTTAATGTTTTGCCTATATAAGACACAGAAAACATAATCAAACCAATTTATTATATTTTTTTATTTATTTGGTTAACAATGGTTATTAGCAGATATAATTGAATTTGTATTACATAAAAATTATAAACAAAACAAATTTTACATGCTCGATAAAATGTATAAGCAAATAAGGTAAATGTAAAAGTGTAACTTATATTACCAGTTGACTGTTCAATAACTGAAACATGCATGTCCGATTGTTGCGAACTTTCATCTAAGTCCTCAGGGCCATCCTTCTTTTTCAAAACAAAATGAACAAATATTTTTATACATATTTTAAAATATTTAATATTACATCAGTTATTTCAATATGTAATGCACACCTTTTTTTTCTTTTTTTGTTCTTCCTGTTGTTTGCGCTTTTGTTCTAATTTATGCTCTTTAACCATTTCCGTGAGGTTTCCAATGTATTCATCAGTTTGCGACAATAAGAACGCTAACCGCTTATCTTTCTTTTGATCGATCAATTTTCTGTAAAATAAATAAGTCAATGAGTATAGATAAATATTTTTATAAATTCCCCATTTAAATTAATTCACCTGTATCCTTCTTCATCTTCTGCCATCAATCTACGCATACGTTCTTTTTCAATTCTCTCCTGTTCTTTCTTTTGTTCGCGCTCAGCATTAGCATGATAATTGAGCACGGCTTTGTTCAACCTTCCTATTTTAGCGATATTGTTTCTATGGTACTCTTTAAGATCTTTACAGTGCTGTAGTACTGTACTGAGGTATTCTTGATGCTTTTGTCGTTTCTTTCGTTCGGCTTCCAATTTTTGTTGTTTTTCTAATTTTTCTGTTGCCCTTGCTTCTCGCAGACCTTGTCGTTTTGTTCGCTTATATGCTTTAACGTTAACCGCAGTTTCCAAAGTAGTATCTCTACGAGTACAGGCTACTACTTCGGCTCTTAATTGTCTTTGGAAATTTAAAACTCGCAATGCTCTTAGCTCAATTTCTACTTTAATTCGTAAATCGTCACTCATCGTTGTGGGTAAATTACTCAACTGTTTGACACGATGGGCAATTCGAGCAGCTAGGCGGTTTTCTCGTTCCTGTAAAATGATGAGAGGGTCTAATCCAACCGGTTTAGGACAGGTTGTAGTTCTGTTTTGTTTAGGAGGAGCTGGTGGACCAGGTGTTTGCTGCTGCTGCTGCTGTTGTGGCTGCTGCTGAGGTTGCTGTTGCTGCGGCTGTTGTTGCTGAGGTGATGGTTGTTGATGAGATGGCCCATTTGTAGTAGGCATGTTAGGCATGTGCGGTGGAACTCCTGCTGTCATTTGTTGTGGTCCGCCCATCATGGGTTGCTGAGGAACTCCTCCACCTATTGGTGGTTGACCAACTGGTTGAGGTGCAGAAATTTGTGGCGTTTGTGGCATATTGACTGGTGGCGTTGGTCCCATACTCGGAGGAAGTGGTTGAGGTCCATTGACAATTGTCGATGGAGGTTGGTTCTGTGGTTGGCTATGTGGATGTTGAACACTCGATGTTGGTTGTATTTGAGGAAGTTGTGGAGTTGCTCCAGATTGCGGCATGCGTATAGACTGTGGAACTGGACCAGATGGCAAAGACTGTCGAGGAGGGTTTTGCATTGGCGGCAATGGTCCTCTCATGGGAGCAGAAGTCGGTTGCATACACATATTATTATCCACTATTTCTCCTGGTTCTAATTGACGATGATGTGGTGAAGGTACAGGGGGATAGCCTTGAGGAGGAGTTTTGCCTTGGACAGCCATAGCCAACTGTTGGGTCAACGGTTGTTGGCGAGCCAGTAGTCTATAAGCCATAATCTGAACTCTGAGTTGTTGCATTTGGGATTGCGTTAAGTTACTTTGTGATGGTGGTCCGATCGGACCATTTGGATTTGGAGAATTTTGCTGAGGCGATGGTGGCTTGTCAGGATGAGGTGGATAATTTCCCTAAAACCAAAATATAGTGCGTAAAAATTAAATGATAGGATTTAAAAAAAAAAATTTTCATTTCACTTACTTGCATTGAAGGAGGTGGTCTCTGATTTGGGTCCATATTACCTTGACGAGCTCTAAGCGCCAACAATTGAGAATATCTAGGATCTTCTTGTAATCCTTTCTCTTCCATTGAATCAATAGCCCTTTGCAATGCATTCAAATTTTCTTGTGGAGGGCCACTTGACTAAAAACAAATTATTTACGTTAAGTTAATTAACAGGGTTTAGAATTTTATGTATTCGCATATTTAGTTGAAGTATTAATAGAACAAATCTATTGCAATATACATGTTGTTTATCATGTGACTAGATTTAAATTCAATTTTTTGAACGCAGATTTTTGCATATTAAGCGCTTTTTTCCATACAAACACTTTGTTAATATAAAGTTATAATTTTTTAAGTCTTGTTTTTTTAATTTTTACAGAAAACCAGTAGTAAATAAATATTAAATAATTTTTAATCAAAGAAAAAAGTGTATTAATACATTTATTTTAAAATATAATTTTAAATGTTTAATAAAAAACCCTATTTAATGTAATAGATGTAACGAAAATGAATTGTAATAATCATAACAAGTACGTCTGTACACAATCATTTTCAAGTAAGTATTATTGGTTTGATAGGTAGTACAAATATTACATATATTTCTGTTTTAATATTATTTACATGATATAACTATATTATGAGATAAAAATAACAAAATGTAAATATTGTTAAGCGGTCTCTTATCTTCAAGTTTTTTTATTTCTTGTTATGGTCACACTACATAAAGAATAATTTAATATGTAGAAAGTGGTTCCATAATTATTTTGTAGACAGCTACTTATCAGTTGTACGTGAACTTTGGCCACACAATTAATGAGTTTAAACAAATATTACTCATTGTTTAATACACATTTTATTTCCTATTTAATTTAAAAAAATCAGTTTAAAAATGGCGGATGTCAATCAATACTATAAAGATGCTCTTAACATTGTTCTGGAAGCAGGCAAGGTATGTTAATGTTACAAAATAGTGAATATAAATTGTTTGCAAGGCTTAAATGTACCTTTTTTTTTAAAAAGATTTTAAAACTAGGATTTAACAGTCCAAAAGAAATAACAACAAAAACAAATATTCAAGATTTTGTAACACAATATGATAAACTTGTTGAAAAAACAATAATCGAAGCAATTCTTAAACTGTATCCGAATCACAAGTAATGATAATAATATATTATTTGTTAATTTTTTTTTGTTTACTATTCAACATAATTTATATACAATAGATTTATTGCTGAAGAAAGTGCAGCTCAAAATACTTTGACAACCGAACCTACGTGGATTCTTGATCCTATTGACGGAACAACAAATTTCATACAAGGATTTCCATTTTGCTGTATTTCTTTGGCACTGGCAATTGACAAAGATTTAAAAATTGGCATAGTATACAATCCTGTTTTGGATCAATTATTTACAGGCCAAAAAGGGAAAGGCGCGTTTTTGAACAGTAAACAAATACATGTAAATGATACTGAAGGTATAAATGCCTATACAAAAATAATTGTATAGTTTTGTTATCCAAATTTCTACTATATTTTATTAGGAGGTCACCCCAAGCTAATTTAAAATATAATTCGTCTATTTTAGTTATTTTTAGCGCCATGATTGGTTTTGACTTAATATGTTTTGCAAATAACGAACCAGCACTTCAGATTTTATTAAAAAAATGTGAGCTGTTTATCAGAAATTGTCGAGGGTATGTTTGAAAGTAACATGTATATATTTGTATTATGTATAATTATTTAAATTATATATTTACAATTATTATTTATACATCAAACAATTTATAATAGAGATATAATGCTATTCCGAATATTTTTAGAATAAGATCTTTAGGATCGGCAGCATTACAGTTATGCTATTTAGCGATGGGAGCCGTAGACATATGTGTGTTTAAACATTTAAAATGTTGGGATGTTGCCGCTGGAAATTTGATTATTCAAGAAGCTGGAGGAATTATACTCGATTTGGAAGGTTAAGAATTAGTGAACTTAATACACACATTGTAATAATATCTTATTAAAATTATTATATACATTTTTAGGACGTCCGTACAATAACATCATGGATGCAGATATAATTGCTACTTGTACAAGAAAACTAGCAGATGAACTGTTAAAAATAACAAAATAATTCCACACAATGTCTAAATGTAAAAGAGTAAAAAAAAAAACAATCAAACACTGATCAAAGCAAATAGTGTTAATTTGGAAATTTAACGCCCGACTTTAAAGAAAAAAAATAATATACAATATACCATACAAAATTAAAAGAGAAAAAAAAGATCTAAAATTTAAATATATTATCGTTGAACCAATTTATTATATAAAACTATATCACCTACTATGACCTATTACGTCTAATGTAGTTAAATATGTTTTTTAAGCTTGTAAGTAAAAAATATGTATGTTCTAGATATGATACGTATATTACACAACAGTAAAATAAAATACTTTGATAATTAGTAATAAAAAAAAACATTTAATGAGAAATCAAACATTCTTCAGATTCACTAATAGTATTTATGCGAAGAAAAAAGTTAAGATAAATTTTATACCTAAACTGAGAGTTCAAATAGAAAATAATAAATTTATTTACGGTTATATTAAATTTCTATTTTAATACAGTTTTAATTTCTGTATAACATCGAGTTGTAATTGCAGAAATATCCTTATAGCTGCGCATTCCAAATAATTTATATTAAAATAGTCTATTTTTTAAGCTGTTATAATTGTTGAATAATAATTTTAATAAATTTACTTCTGGTATGGGAATCAAAATATAGTCAAATAAATATAATTGGTTACACCAAATATTAGTGAAATTATTTAATTTTACTTAATCAGATTTTTTTCATAATTAAATCTTATAACTTTCATTTTATCAACATAAACGTTTCATAAATACATAAATTATTAATCATTTGGCACTAACGAGATCAATGAGTATATGTATTTAGATTATGTTTAGCATTTTAAGCTATAGATGTAATATTGAAAAACTTAGTTTTACCATGTTTAGAGTTATTTGATTCAATAATTTATCACCCCCCCCCCTTTTTTTCAATTTATATTTGATAGGCACTATTGGTTGGTAACATGTTATTGTAATATAGAGAGTACAATAAAAAGTCCTATGATCAATAACCATCCTAATACCTAATACCTTATCAGAATCATAGAATACAATAAAATTACTAAACAAATCTATGCTCATTTATCTTAATATTAAAATAGTTTTAGAATTTCACTTGATTTTTCCAATCGTTTAATTAGCCATACCGATAATAAACTTAATCAATATTTATAATTTTTGTATGACTGTTTCTACAAGTAACAACTGCCTATGTTACTTTGAAATTCCACAATACAATATTATGTCATATGAATTACTTGAATTCCTGGAGGCGGAAAGGTTTGCGTGCCCTGCTGAATGTTCGGCGACGCTGGAGGCCCTGGTTGACTTGGCGAATAGTTTTGTGTCGGTAATGGTTGCGGTGGCCCGGGCGGTTGCTGTTGTTGTGGATGCTGTTGTTGAGGAGGTGGTTGCTGTTGCTGTTGCGGTGACTGCATCTGCTGTTGTTGAGGCGGCTGTTGTGGTTGTTGTTGTGGTGGTTGCTGTTGCGGTTGTTGTATCGGCGGGGGCTGTTGTTGCTGGAGGTTGGAACCAGGCGGTCCCATCGGGTTCGGCGAAGGACTCGCCATTTGTTGCTACACAGTGTTTAATACACTTTAATTATGAATACCAAAAGAAAAGATAAACGGCAACGCCACTAATGACGCGACATTCCGCTGGCCGAAAGTCACAAGTCGCCGATCGAAAACAACCGTCAACTAATCTGTAATGGAAGTCTTTTGACGCACGATCAGCTCTTAGGTACACTCCTAAAATCAATGAAGGCTAATGGATCGACGAACCATAAATAAAAAAGCTGAGATAGCTTGGTAAATGTAAAAAGTTTTACCAAATAAAAAAAAAAAATATTCTCACAAGTCACAATAATCGAGCCGACTGCCGAGTGACACGATAAACAAAACATCAACCGCCAGTGCGAACACCGGTCTAGTTTTTAAGACGCGGTACACTGGCCGGCTACACTGTTTGCCGGTACCATAGATTTTTTCTTCCATGGTCGAAATTTAACGATACAAGCATTGGTAATTCTTTGATAATAGGTACATATTTTTAATTTTATTACACGTCTGGTGGTCTGGTCTGAAAACCTGAAACTTGTGTTCCAGTTTGCTGGTAAATTATCCAAGTGTTGCAATTTCGTTTTATGAAATTTACATTCGATAGACAAATATTAATATTTTTTTAATCATATCTACTTACGATCTTCTAGGTATTAAACAAACTAACATTTCCTTTACTTGTTGAATTTTTTGAGACGGACATTTTTTTCAAAATGTAACTTCAAAATAGACATAAAGTATAACTTTTTAAACCGCGTTTACTGTGGCGTTCCATTCAATAAACCGGTAAACCGATTCGGTGGATAATAGTAAAATGTTCAAATTGTCATCACTTTCAAATTAATATAACTTTATAACGTTTGAATAAAAAAAGTAAAACAGATAAGTGCAATAAAAAACGTAGTGTTTATAGCGCAATTGAGAATAAATAAATTTAAAAAAAAAAATTGGAAAAATATTCACTAATTACTAGAACAAAAGTTATTTCATTTGTCAAATCTTTGTGGGACACCCTGTAAAATAAAATAGCAATTATATAAAAATTAATAATAATAAATACATAACTCAATAATACACACGCTTACTCTGTACCCAGTAAAGCGCTATGATGATGGTAACAATGTTAAAGATATAACTTTACAAGGCATAAGCTATTTTGAAGTGTGTAATTTTGTGGTAAAAGGTATACTTCATGTTTTATACTTAAAAAGAACTATTAAAAGTTGGTTAGTTTTTAAATACTATTATAGTTGTTTTAAATACAATTATTTACCATTAATTTCACACACTTCCAAGTTTGAACTTATTTTTTTAAAACGCCAAAAGTAGCAACTTCGAAAATCCTAATCGACATTCAACGGACACGGATTAATGCTGTACAACTGGCAATTGCAATGTTTTTTTCTAAAATACCGTCTTTGGCATTATAAGTTTTATTTTGAACGGTCAGCTATTACATTTTATGTAGTTATTACAAGTCCTTAAATAATTATTGTAAAAAATAACTACTTACAGCTCGTATAAATTCTTATTAATATTCATTCAGCTTTGGTTCATGTGGTACATGTGTACTATGCCATTTAAACATGTAAAACAGTTGGTGGCAATTTAACCCAAATGACCCAGATGCAGCATGAGTTCCTGGTGTACAATAGGGTTTAATATAACGCGTATTATCCAAACCACATAAAACGACACGGTGTGTTCATATCACAGAGAACAGTTGCAGCGTGTACACTATTCGCAATCCAGTTGCATGTGACCCTGGTAGATTCGATATAATACCGAACTATCGATAATATCGAATCGCCCAACACAATACGATTTGCAGTCTCCACAATTATTTAAAACAGTTACACAAAAAACATTATTACATTATTTAATAATAAAATTAATTATTTAAATTCATCGGAAGATGTAAAATCGAATTCAAAATATTTAAACAATATTAATTTCTATAATATATTCAATAATAATAATTATTATTGTATCGTATTGGTATTTGGTTATCACTTTATAATTACTATTTTTTGAAAAATACAATACTCACAAACAAAAGCTTTAACAATCCTTTGCAGTACATTATTATTGTAAAGCTCTAGAGTTCAGTGAAAAAGCTACACCATTCAAAATGGAATGTTAAATTGGAATTGAAATCAATGTCTTCGTATAACTTTAAATTAATTACTTCTTCGTTATTATTTTTAAGGATGAAAAACCATTAAATATTTTTAGAGCAGAACAATCTGCAAACAGTGCAATGTTCAAAAAATAACTATAGTGAACAATGTATGGCTCGGTTTTAAGCACCATATTAAACGCGGAAAAAAATTTTCAAATTTTCACTGCCTTAAAAAAAAAATTTAACAAAAAAAAAAAGTGACAATTTTGTGCAACAAAAAAACGTGGTGTTTTATCTTAACCCATACAAATAGAGTCGGTTAGCTAAATCCACCCTATCCATAAGAGTTTTTTCAATAAAATAATTATAATTCAGTGAAATTTTCGTTATTTTTATTTACAGTACAAATTAATAAAATTATAAAACAGTTACATACAATACTTCAATTTTTTTAACATATTTAAATATAACAAACAGTATTATTGTTGAGTGTTGACTACAGTATTAAGTCGGCCAGTTGAAGTTTACACGTATACATACACATTTATAGTTGCATAACTTGTTAACAAGAAACTTTATTCATAATCCTCAATGTCAGTTTGTACAAATATTTCAGTAAAAAAAGTTAGTGTCTACATTGGTCTTGCAGTAACTGAATATATAGATATAAGATATATTATATATTTTATATACAACATATAAAGAGATTAGAGAAAGGGATGCGAAACGGACAATTTAAACTCGGTTTGAAGCATTTCACTCTAAACGTTATTACTATTAAGCAATGATTTTTATAATACAATAATTATTTACCTATTCACTACGTTTATATAATGTGTATAATTAAGCGATTAAACCGTTTTCAAATACTTCAAAACGGGTTCAAGTTCTTAACCTACCTAGCACAAGCGTTTTATTTCTCAAAACGGCTCGATGACTTTAAAACGGTTTGGAGCTTTTTATACTATGGTAAACTATCGGGCGACGTTTAGATCGGAGCTAGTGTCCGAGGGTCCACACTGTTGGCCCTTTAAAAAAAGCTACTGTGTCCGAACATGCCGTAGTTATGGTGCATGTGTGGTTTGCACGACTTGAACAATCCGATTAGACCAGGCCCGACGAAAGCCAAAAATCCCAAGATTTTCTTAAACGGCGCCAATCCAAGGACGAGCGGTAAGAATAACAGCAACTTCATTTTGAACAGCTTGAGCAAGATCAACGGCGGTACCAAGAATTTCTTTACTTTTTTCTTGGCTGCGTATGAAAAATAACAATTACCATATTAACAATCGTATACACAACAGGGATGGGACCACACAAATTCTAAAACTTACGTATACAAATAATATGCTCGTGTTCAAATATGTTTGTCGGTTTATTTATGTGCAATCTACATTAACAATTATTACTATAGGAGCCATTAGGTATATGTTTTCTCTCATATTACTAACCACGGATTAGTAGGTGAGTAAGACCATATAAAATACCCTAACACGATTTTCGATTTACCTAACTTAGTCCCACCTGTTCTCGAAATTAAAACCCATCACGTTGACGGTAATTTGTTAATGGTTCGGGAATTACACATTCTATTATAAAAACATTAATGGAGTTCAATTTAATCTTTTTTTTTTTTTTAATATTTGTAATTTTCTCTGAATCACTACGCCACGGGTTCCGTTATGTGAAAAACATCATTAAGTGATAAATACGTAATTAAATAAAGCGAATCCTTTATTATATACATTAATACAGTTAGACTATAGAGTCATCAGCGGCTCAAGTCATACGTCTTAATTGAATCATTATGTAAGATAATAAACGTTAAACTGTATTGGTAATAATAGAGAATAGAGAGTCTACCTTCTAATTTATTAAAAGCTTCCGTTTTACTAGTAAGTTATTAGTATCATAAAAAACATGATTATTATAATAATAATAATTATGAGATAACGATCTAAAAGAATATTTTCATCCTGAGCCCATTTATTGTACTTTTTCCTCTAACCATGAACGATCCGTAGTTATTTCCAGGGCCGGATCTATGGGTGGTGGTGGGATGGGGAAGAGGCGGGGATTTACGGTTAACCAATTGTATGGTTAATACAAATTTAATTCTTCTGTTCTACATTGCATTTGGATTTTTGTTTTGATCATATTTTAAAGGTAATAATAATGTTTTCCCCAAAAAGACATAAACGAATAAAACAATTAGACCTTGGAGTTCCATCAGATGGCTGGAATGAAAAAAAATGTATTATTGCTTTAAAAAAATGTTTGTGATGTTTAGTCATGAATATGAATTGGAGAATTGAAACCATAAATCAGGTATCTTCTGATTTTAGTTTTTTAACTGGATCTGAACTAGTTAAAAATAATTCAAGTAAATTTATTAAAGCAGCTGCGAAATATAACAAAGATTTAAAATCTTCAAAATTAACGGACCCAAAGGAAATTGTCAACTTTAAAAATCTTGCTCTGGGTATCTTACCTAATATTAAAAAATCAAAGACCTCTAAACATTTTTGAAATAATACACGAATATTCAATGACTGATATTTTACCAAATATTTGTATTGCCATCCGTCTCTACTTAACGTTGCCATGTACTACTGCACAAAATGAACGTAGCTTTAGTAAGCTTAAATTAATTAAAACATACAACCGATCTACCATCAGCCAAACAGACTCACAAATTTACCAATATTATCAATAAAAAAAGAAATTGCAAGACAATTGACTTGAATTCAGTAATTAATGAGTTTTTTGCGATTAAATCTAGGAAAATTAAATTTTAAATAAAACAAATTAACAATATTTTACATATTTATTATATGTATACTTTTTTAAAGATATGTAATTTTTATAAATTTTTTTTTTTGAGAAAAAAATAATGAAAATTTAAACTAAATATTTAATTTTAAGTTAAAAAACCTAAACGTCCTTGGTCCTATTTTAAACATTGGGATTAAATATCTTCAAAAAATCTAATAATCTTGATTTTTTCCTAACTCGTTGATGTCAGATAGTCTAAATAAACATATCCTGGAAAACTGAGTTGCACCGTTAATGATGCCATAGATAAAAAAAAAGAATTACTCACTTATGAATTTTGCCTTTTTGTTTTCGATGGCGTCCAGCTCGGAGTCATCAATGAATCTTGGCGAATAACGGCCGCCTTCGGTAAGTTCATCAGGCACTTGTACTTCGACGGCCGTCGACCTTAAGAACATTTCTGTTTTGTGCATGGTGAACCTGACCAGCCTGTCCCATTCGGTGTCTTTGGGCTGCTGTCCTATAGAATGCTTCAACGTCCTAGAAGACCAGTACTCATTGTGATCGGGTTGCAAGTGGATCATACGCACGTTGTCGTTAAGCCGGTATGCGTCCTCGACGAAAAACTCGTCGAACCTGGACAACGCCTTAGCCTTAAAGCATTCGACCATATCGCCCTGCAGACAAGCGCCGTTAGCCGCTGCCTGGTAAGGGCCTGCGGAACTGTCCAACAAATTGAAAAGGGTCTTTCCGCTCCTGTTGCCGGCGGCAGTGCTGTTGACGTCTTCGTTGCTGGCAAACGACACGCCGTACTGACCGCGGGCCACCGTCGTCAGACACACGCAGGCCGTGCACCCGAACAACAGAATATTATAGTTCATGACGTGGTGCACAAACCCGCCAACTGAAGAATAGACGGCGGTCACGTAGGCGGACGACTGCTGCGGTTGCTTGAACCGTTGTAGTTATACGTGTGCAAGCCGAAAATGAATCTCGTCCTTTGACCGCTTGGGTGTACGGATCGGAAGCCAATCGTGTTGATGTAGCATACATGTAACCGCCGCCGCCACCGCAGTCTATTGGATAACCGCATTAACCATTAACGGAGACGGTCTGACTAAGAAAACCCTACTACCTAGGAATTTTCAAGATCTTAAATGGATAAAATTTGAAAAATAAAATTAAGACTTTAGTGTGCTAAGCAGTTTTGAACTTAAAAGGTTGTCTGTCGTGTATCTTTATAAGTGTTTAATAATTTATACGGACCCTAACTGATACTGAATGTTGAGTTACCACTTACTTAAAATGTAAATTACAATGTAACAAAAGCTCCAAGTTAGGACATTAAGATTTTAATTTAAAAATATTGAATTAATATCAAAAATCAAAGAGATATTAGTAATATTTTAGTATAATAGAAATTTATACTTTTTTAGAGTCTCTTAATTAGAAAAACCCAAAATGTTGTGGTTAACTTGACTCGTAGTACTTTTGACTGGAAATTTAATATCAAGTCAATTTTAATATAGTACTATGCTGTCAATCGGTCAACTTTCTTTTACATTTTCTTGAGATAGAAGTTTTGACGGTCTAATAAAACGGTGATGCTCAAAACAAAATATTTGATGCATAATAAATACTATACAAATTTAAACTATGTATAATATAGTTAACTGAAGGGTTATATATTATATGGTGCCAAACTTAGGTAAAAAATATATATATTTATTTTTGTATATTTTAAATTTATGTGGACCTCCCTGCCGCCGTTAACGGAAGATCGTAGAAACGCCGGAAAAAAATACTGTTTTCCATCATTCCATCATAACCGTTACACAATGTAATTAATACTAAATAGTATGTATTTTTTTCTCATTAGTGAGCCACTTTTAGAGATCGGACCCAAGTCAACGTTTTGGCATATAAGTCATAACATAGTCGGATAACCCACGTTATATTTTGTGTGCAAGCAAATAGTATAAGACAAAACCATGAACTCAAAAGATTCCAATTTACTAATAAATATAACGTATTACCTATGTTTATTTTTTCCAAAATTATAATAATTTAATTCACAATTTTTAAATACATTACAAACAATACATTTTTATATATTGCAGATTGAATAATATAGCTGTTATTTAAGTGCACTTACAATAATTGTAATATTTTCAAATATTGTTAGTTATGTTAATATTGTAGTTAGTACTACTAGTTATATTTTCTTATACTTGTATACGAATATTATATGACGTATTAAAACCTACGTAAAACTCTAATATATTCATCTGGGAACATACTTCCAAAAAAATCATCAACTATACTAAAATTAACATGATTTAATTTTTCTTTTAGAGCCACAACATATCTTTGTGCATTTTTAAAGTTGTCATCAATTTTTCTTCTTAACTCACTAGGTTTTGTGTGAGATGTATAGTCAATACCTTGTTTTCTGTCTACATATACTAGTTTTTTACCTCTATTATTATTATTTTTATTTATATTACATGTTGCCCTAAATATGCAAGTTCCCAATGGTTTTAGAACAGTTTTTGACATATTACGTTTGCGTGATTTATACGTTTTTAGAGCATCATAAAGCTCTTTTAATTCTGGTGAATAGTCCAATACCAAAAATTTTAAAAAGTCTTGAAATAATTCCTCAAAGTGATGCCATAATTTTTTAAAGTTTGATGAATGAAGAAGAGTAATCTCAATTTTAAATTTTATTGAAACGCAATTTAGAAATAGTTGTACGTGTTTATTTATGTATCTAAGCATTGGCAATACTATAATGAAGGTTACCTGTCTATGGTATTCAAAAAGTTCAGAGTAATTATCTGTTATCCATGTGTCCACGGCCTTGTTGTATGCTTTGGACAACTCGTCCTCTAATTCCTCACATTTCCACGTCAGTCCAACGTTTTGATTTTGAATAAAATAAACAAAATCGTTAACGTATTCCCCGATACGATTCAAAAATATCTTTTCGGGCTTAAAGTACAACGAATCGACATTACTCGGTTTATTGTCGCGTACGACGACCGCTTCGATTTTCTTTATATTTTCTTGAATTAAATCAACAAGGTCGTTTGGTGGCGGTGTTGTTTTGTCAAATGAACCAACGCTCACTTGTGGTCTCTTAGATAGGTGTGTACGTTTACCTTGATGATTTCAATGGCGTCGAAAACCTTCTTTAGCTTAGATTTTTTGTCACCTCGAACATATTTAATACAACCATCCGTCACGCATAAGGCGTCTGAAACGGTGTTTGCAAATAAGTTGTGTTGCCAGAGCCACTTGTTTTGACCTGGTGTAGATTTTAATACGTTGATAATTTGACCTCCATAATCCGACAACAATTTCAAACTTGTTCCGCGAAATCCGTCATGTTTCATGAGCAACTCACTGAAATGTATAATTTCTAAAGAAGTTTGCGCACATTCGATTATGGGTTCGTCATGTAAGTATGATAAGCACACATCAGTGTAAATACACAAGAAAAGCGCGACAACGCATAACCTAGCTGCAGCCATATTCGTAACTAAATCTGTGTTTGATACTGCTAATGGTTCTGGATGGTTTTATTTTAATTTATATTTACGTATACGTTTTTTGTTGACAAAGTTTTTTCCCCCTTTAAATCTGGACTCTTACGCACTCAGAACATATGTATTGTTTTTGTTCGTTGATATAGAGTTTGTAAATTTAACCTATTTACCAGTTGTGCAACCTATATTTGTTTTTATATTCGTCGTCGTATTGTTTTTACACGGGTTTTATTAAAAAGATTATTATCCAGCGGGAACTTAATTAACTTTCAAATACAATTCCTTAATTTTGAATTTTGAATTTCAAAGGCAACATTAAATAAAATAGCAATTACAGTTACGTCCACGGTTCAAGAAACATTATACAATATACAACAATATACTTTTTAAAATAATGAATTCAAGGATGTAACAAAAGCAATAAAAACCGTGGTGTTTATAGTGCAATTGGGGATAAATGAATTATAAAAAAAGTCTTGAAAATATTCACCAGAACAAAAGTTATTTTATTTGTCACAACTTTGTGAAACACCCTATATATGGGGCCAAAGTTCGGTAAAAAACTAATATTTTTTTTGTAAATTTAAAATGTGTAGAAACGCCCACGCGGTCGGATAAAAACACTCATCCTCAACGCTTTATTTTTTCATAGGTATGTATAGTAAACAAAAAGTGTTATTTAAAAACAAATAAGTCTACATAATTATTTGATTACCCGTCAGATTACAAAATATTAACACGTAAACATACTTTATAGTTTTGGGAATAAGACAGACTGTAAAATAAATCTTCATTTCGGATGTTATGATATTTTTGTTTTAAATGTAATATTGTTTGGTAAGGAGGAATTATCGATATTGATATTAAGTACTTTTGATAAGAATGACGTTTAACATTGATTTCTTCTTATCATTCAATGTTTTTAAATTTTAATAAATGAGCATATTTTCGTAGCCAGACTCTGTGCAAATTACTTTTAAAACAAATAAATCGCAGAATATTGTAGTTTCCCATATAATAAAGCCGTATTATAAGACGGGGAAGAATAGTAGAGGTGTAAAGGCATTTCAAATTAAAAGGTTCGATTAAAATGGAGCAATTACACGCTTGATCATACCAATTAAAGAAAACTTTTTTTTATTGCTGGAATATGAACATTTTACTAAATGTTGGAATCAAAGGTTACTCCACGATTCTTGATTTGGATGGAACTAAACAAATTTTGGTCAGATAAATTAGATAGATATAATATTATTATCTAGTCTATTCCAATAATTTGTTTCTACTTCTCATTCGTCTCCATATTTTTCTTTCTTTATTGAAATGTCTACTGTACAGTTGTTTATCCATATAACACATTTAAAATAATTAGTTAGGTTAATTAAATTTATCCAATATGGTAATATCTTCGACATGGAGCCGAGAAGGAATATTGGCTTAGCCATAGACAAATAGACTTTAATTCTAACCAAATTTATTGAATATTGTTGACACTATTAAATGGTATAAAACAGGGGACTGGGTTTTCAAATATTTGTATATTACGCGTTGTGTTTTGAACAATTTTGATTCTGCAAAATCGACATACTTTTGTACATACTTAACAAACATAAAAATTGAGTCATCGATAATATTAAGGTTTCATCCATCGACACTGCAGTATAATAATATGTGGTATATAGTAGACAGTTGTTTTATTATAGTAGGTAGCATAATATAGTAAAAGTTTATGTTTCAATCAATGTGATCGGTATCTTATTTTCGATAGTCCGGTTAAAATCAGGTGTACCAGGGTCACATTTAAACAACGCACATACCTAAAAACGATACCGATTTAAGCTAGGTATTACCTAGCTTAAATCGGTTAAAAGTGCGCCGTCTTAGATCACTTTGCATGAAAAAAACTAATTTCGAATTTTTTTTTTATTGACTGCAGAAAAAATAATGTTACGAAAATTATAATAGGTTATTTATTAATTAAAATCAAATACATTTAGGTACTGAATCGTTTAATCACGGATTTAATCATTATATTACTTATTATTACAAATCCCGTGACAAAAAAAAAATAATTGTATTTTAGTATGATAGACAATAAAACGGCAATATTTTAAATGTTAAAATTAATAAATACATTTAAAATATTATAATTGATAAATAAATTTAAATACTTCAAATATTATAATTAATATTGTTGCCTTGATGTTTACAATGTATGTGGAAGTAAAAGAATTCCGCGATGTTTATTTCTTTATCTAAAATGCAAAATAACAAATTATTAAGTGATGGTCAAAAATTATCGTTAACTCGTTAACGTGTAATTAGTGAATTACCATCAAAACTGTATATATTTTCAACACCCGGGTTATTTTTGCGAAATTCGTTCACGAATGTTGTCGATTCTGTTTCGGAAAGTATACCGTTTCCGTCTTTATCAAATTGTGTGAATTGAAATAATAATATTCTGACATCATCTGTACGTAAAACTACCTCATCCTGAAGAATTGTCAAAATAAAATCATGTACAGCGTAAAGGATAATTAAATGTTAGGGAAGTAATAGATGAGAGTAAAGGAATTTTATTAATTGATGAAAAACAAATTATATTACATCGCCGTGATCTGTCTTAGAACGTTCTGCCATAACCAGCATCAAATCCATCAACTCTTTAGCAGCGGGTCCTGTGCAAATTTTAATTATGTATTACATGCAAAATCACAATTTATCTAACGTGAATATATATAATATATTTATATTTAATTCTTACGGTCAGTTTTAAATTTCAATAACGGGTTATGCTCCTTAGTAGCCATTTCAAAAGCTTCGAAGACGGGTTGTATATATTCTTTGTCAATTGAACCAGATGCAGTTTGACGACGTGTATACAATTCATTTAACTGTCCTATTTGTGCTTCGCTTAGACCATTGCCCTATAATGTAAGCGAAAAGGATAAATATATAAGATAGCTCTACAAAAATGTCGATGCATTTAACATTTTAAGCATGTGTATAATGTTTAACGATTTATTAACTACTATTTTGTAATGTTCCTTTAACTTTTGCATTTTAAACAACATCGCGCATTCATTTTTTAACCAGACAAATTTAAATGGCCAATTTTCAAAAATTACAATTAGTAGAAACTTTTTTTTTGAACATAAAAATATTTGCTTACTTCCGGTAGAATATCTATTATGATCAACAAGAATTCCGGTGCGGTAACTACATAGCCACCTAAAATTAAATAAATAAAGATTGTCAACTTGAAGTAAACCGCATCCTCGACCTAAATTTAATATCACTATTTTTAGTATAAATGTGCTTACATAATACTTCTACCCATGACTTATCATTTTTATCAACTCCTAATCGTTCAAATACAACTAATAGATCTTTATAAGTCAGCTTTTTGTCTTCTCCAATGATCTTAATGATGTCAGACTTAGTCCCATTTGAAGACTCACATACCTATACACATATGTAATACTTAAAATAAATAAATAAATAAATATATATATTATTATTTATATTATATTATGTATAATATAGATATGTATAGATTTATTTTAGGAAAAATTATACGAAATACATCACTGGGAAATTATCAATTAGTATTATTATTTTTAGTTAATAAGATTTAAAACCCCAAAAATCCTCAAAATATTCACTATAAGCTTTTTATAGCTTCACCGTTTTATTAAATGCAAATAAAAAAAAAATCTTAAATTAATTAGCATAACATATGAATAATATAAAAAACAGTATGTGAATATTAAAATAAAATAAACACAATTGACCTTAGGTCAAAAGGTTAATACCCGAAGTATTAACCTTTTTTAATTTTACCCATAGCTCTAACAATTTTTGAAACTTAAATGGTAACATATATTAGGGTGGTCCTTAAAAAGTCTATTTTCGAATTTTAACCTCGACGCCCCCTAAAAAGTTTCTAAATACAATAAAAAAACATTTAAAAAAAACAATTTGAAAAATTTAAATTTATACCCGTGCCCCAAAAGTTTAAATGGGATTTAACATAGGATTTCGACACTAAAAAAAGTATCCAAATACGCCAATTTTTAGTTAAATTTTCCTTTTCTGGCAGCAATTTTGACAGGTATGAACTTTTGGGTATGGTGTTCGTATTCGGAAGACTTCAAGCTATAAAACTGTCAGAACTATAGCTTAAACTAAGGAATAGGAAAAAAGTTATGCATTCATTTCTGCACAAGTGTCGAAATCCTTTGGGGCACGGGTTAAAAAGCGACCTTTTAGGGACCACCCTAACACAAATATTTTATAAAATGTGTAAAAAAACAATAATTTAACTGACACTTTGGCTGTTCGATAACCAGTTTTGGATTATTACTTTTAAAGTTATTAAAGTTTAAAATTTAGAGAGGAAGGAAGGGGGAAGTGTATTTTGTTTTTATCTGTGCGCATTATTCTACAACTATCCACCTCTCTTAAAAAAACAATGGATTTGCTTACGTGTGGGTTAACTTTCAACAGGATATCCGACAGTTCATCTACATCTATTTTAAAGTCGTCTAAAATCAAATAAAATACAAATTGACAACATAAAGTAAAACGCTACCTCGACTTCAATTTATTACCGCCATTTTTAGCTTTTAATTCATTAATTAGTTTAACTTTCGACAGGATATCCGACAATTTATCTACATCTATTTCAAAGTCGTCTAAAATCAAATAAATAAAAAAAATTGACAACATATAGTAAAACGCCACGTCAACTTCAATTTATTACCGCCATTTTTGCCTTTAAATTTATTAATTAAATTGTCGGCTGTAGCTATATCGCCATCTTTAAAAAATAAGTGTTCGAATACAACTGATATTTGTTGACGAGTTAGGTATCCCTCTTGTGGTTGAAATTTATAATATTCAGAGTGTAAAATGAACTCTTTGAGATAAAACTCTGCTTCAAAAGGCGTCAGCATTGAATCCTAAGTACATTATTTAACATACACGAATATTTCGCAAAAATATTTTTACAATATTTTGATATTTGTTAATAGTTTAATACCTATGTTATAATATTAAACTAGTTATTTTAGATCAATTACCATGAAGTTGTCAGATGTCTTATCTTTATACGCTAACGCTATCAATAAATTCTTAAAATTTGCATATTTGGCCTCATCTATATAAATTAAATAGTATGCAATTAGTTTTTAATAACAAATATAATAGTTTCCAACAAAGCTTGGCAAGCTTAAGATTTAGATATTATATTAAATTAAATGATGTATGCTTATTGCTTAACATGTGTAATTATTTAGACCGATTAACTAGTTACTTAATCGAGTAAGTATTTATGCATGTTTACTCTCTTATCCAACTTTACTATGTTTTTAAAAAGTAACCCTATCTTATACACATTATTTCATCATTAATTTTCAACAAATTGATAGTTTAAAAAAAAAAGTACATTACAATTTATTATAATGTGAGTAATAAGAATTTGTCCGGTTAAGTATGTTGTTAAAATTTAAAAAAAAATACATAATATTATTTATTGAGTTAATAATATATAATTTACCAAGCATACGCCTATTAAAGCAATAGCGCCACGTTAATTTTCTATAGAAGTAATGAATTAAATAGCTATTTAAAAAATATTTTACTTTTGTTGTATGTAAAAACCTCTTCGTGATTTTTAATTCCAAAAAAGTTGGTCATAAGATTTGTGATTTTCGGAATATTGTTTTGATTTTCGTGATTGTTGTACAGTTCAATAAGTTCTTCTATTTGATTCCTACTTAGTCCAGAGCTCTAAAATAAAGTATAATGACTCATAGCCTTACACTCACAGTTTGATAGTTTTACTTTTTGAAAAAAAAACACGTTAATTTACAATATTAAAAGATTATCAAATATTTGGCTTTTTTTTAATTTTCTAATGCGAATTGACTTTTGTAGCTTAAGTGAGAACGTATATATTTAATTAGCTTATTAAAATAAAGATAATTTGCTGAAAATGTTGACTGGTTAACTTAATAAGTAATTATTCAAAACTGGTTACCGACCAGTCAACATATTTAGCAAATCGTTGATAAATTAATAAGTTAATAAAATATATACGTTACCTTTTAATAGCTTAAGGTCATACGGTTTTAACGCATAAGTGATTTCTATATTATATAAGTCACCTTATAAGAGAAATAACTATCTTACCCATGCTGATGTAAAGAAATACACCGCGCAGACAATAACTGCACTCTTGAAATGCATAATAGTTTTTAAGATAAACGAAATTCAATGAGGTAAGTGCAGAGCAAAACGACTATTAGCTTGAAGTCAAAATAACGTATTAACAGTAAAACAAGTACATTTGTTATGTTGGTTATAGTTTTATATATTTACTCATACTAAACTTTGTGAACAACAAAATTTAAATAAATCTTATGTGTCTCTATTTGCTTGCGCACACGATGTACATTCGATGCTGAAGAGTATTTGCTTGGAATACACAATGATATATTATATTTTCTTTAGTATTGTATTTTTTTTCTTTTCTGGTTTTCGGTTAATGTAATCAATTCCATATTTACCCTAAGAACATGCGGGGCATGAGCCCAGGACACCTGGCCAGAAGGTGGCCCACAATTATACAACTTACATCTTTACGTTTTTTTTTTTGTTTTTTTTTTAAAGGCCCCTCAAACGGTTAGTTAGTAACTAGAGCAGTATGTTGGAGTAAATCATAAATTTTATGAAATTGATGACATTCATGAGTTTTTGACTTAAGGTTAAATTGTGGTACGATATCTGACAATCAACTGATCAGCAAAATCTATACATATATATATATGTATATATATAGATATAGATATAATATTTTTTTATCACTATGAGATTATTTATAATCAGGAGTTTTATAAATGAAACTAGTATTTAAGTTAGCTATTTTGTCCATACTTTTACGTGTTCTAGATTCTAGAAGTTCCGGCAAAATATACGTTGACTATGTACTCGTATTTCGAATTACAGTTGCTCATAAGTAAACATACTTATTTTACAAAAACGTGTAGATCGTATTTCAAAATAGGTATACAACTTTTGAATTCTGTAAAACACAGCTCCTTGAATATATTACAACAAACCAAATTAAGTGATTTGTACAGGGAAATAACCAAGAAAGTCACTTTTTTCTAATCTAAGAAAAACATGTATAAGTTATGATAAAACATGTTTAAGTTATGCTAAAAATGTTTTAAAATGTTAAAACTTTAAACTTTTTAAAAAAAAAACGTTTAATTTTTGTTTTTAATTACGCTTAAAAATAAAGAACAGATTCGTTTTGTATCAAAATTAAATTTATAACATCAAAATTGCCATTTTTAAAAAGTGACTTGCCTATTTTTTCCCTGTATCTTTCAAGTACAATAATTCTATAAACATCAAATCATAAATACTTTTCTTTTAATATACTATTATAAATACTAATACCAAGAAAATATTGTATGAATATTTTAAATAGTAGTTTTTTTGTATTATTGATTTCAATGACTTTCCGATAGTAAAATATAAAATTAACAGTCAAATTAATAGCATCCAAAATGTTTGTATTTACGAATTTTTGCTAGTCACCAGATTATTATAGAAAGATTGTAACTAAAATCTCAACTTATTATAAAAGTCTTTAGTCATCTTTCATTACTGATCATATAGGATAGGTACTTATAGTTTTCAGTCCAAACAACTAAATATATGTATTAAAGTGGGGCACACACACAACAGTTTAGTGTAACAACATCACTATAATAGGTAGGTACCACATAAAAGGTGGACACCACATATTAGGATATTAGGTAGATGTGTTTCCTCTACTCGAAACCGGTCAGCCATTAATTAAGCTTTCCTGTCATTGTACCCATATGATGTTTATCCATAAGTCTACTGTGGTTTACCTTCCGTTATTATTATATAAATTAATTGTCAAAAACTGCCTGCTTTTGTAAGCTACTTGCAGGGGTGGATTGGTAAATTGAGCAATTGTGGTCCTAAGACCTGGTGAGAGGTTTTGTCATACGCATTACGCAAAGTTGTATTGTAGTTTTCTGTTTTACTCAAAATGTGTAAATGTAATAATATTAGATATAACGATTTATCTATTTTTTGTGTGTTCCATTTCCTCACAATACATATTTAAACATCAGTATTATTTATTTTGTATTATAGAAAATAGGCCTTGACTACAATGTCCACACCGCAGACAAAATGGACTCTAAATGGACAACCAACAAAACTACCAACAATTTCAAGTTTTATTTGTAATGTTAAAAATAAGGTTATTTTTAAATGTAAATACAGTGGAATAACTGTATAAAATCAGAAGATGGTAGAATAAGGTAAAAAGGTGGTATACCAAATTGGTATTACCAATACACCTAAAAAAAAAAATTGTTTAGCTTAAAATAATTTCAAAAATAATGTGTACAACATATCAAAATCTTTAAAAAACAGTGGTAACCGAGTGGTAGGTGATGGTTACTTTTATTTTGTGACCAAAAGTTTTGAAATTATGTCTTTACATTGGCACACAACCGGAAAAAACGACAGTTTTTAGCGTTACCAAAACACCTAACGAAAATTTTGAACAAAAGAATTGATAAAGATATGATAATTAAGGGATAAGAGATTAGTGGTATGTCTTTACTTTGGCACACAACCGGAAACTTTGGGCTTCGTCATTATTCCACCAAATCACAAATTTATTATTATTATTATTATTGTTGATAGTAGTATTTTACAAATTATAAGTTGTTACATTTAACATTATAAGTTTTGAAAAACGCGTATACATGAAAAAAATATTAATATACATCCAAAAGTTTTTGTCTTGTTATTCAGTTATCATGTGTGTTGACCTCGGGCTAAATGTAAACATACAATTATTCTATGTTCAAGACCAGTGTCATTATTTTTGGTCATTAAATTGAAAATCATAAGTCTTAAATTTTAAAATAAAAAAAATAATCGTTCTATATGATACAGTAGGACGTCATGCATATTTAATACAGTACATTATACACATGTAGGAATGCAAAACACTATTATATTATGAAAATTACCAGTTCAAAATTCATAGGCCATACAACAGTGATTATTATTGCAGCTTTTTATTAAACCATATGTTCCATTTTTTTACGTTTATAACAGAATAGTTTATGACGTCTGTAGCAATGTAAACAAATAACAACACATATTTGTCGGATATTCTACAAACCATACATATATATCAAAAGACAAATTAATGTTTGCAGTTTTACACTACATTATACACGTTTAATGTTTTTATACAGCAAACAAAAAATATAAATCTTCGTTCTATTCAATTTGTAGCGTATCAACATTGCTGAGTTCTGTTGTGTACTTGAACCATCAATTATTGCACGTATCTTCTGATAAAACTGAATTCCATTCTAATTTTAACTGTATGATCCACGGATTAGCACTGCTGACGAAAACCCTAATATACCGAAAACTTTATTTAGATCAGCTAACAGTGTGCGCTTTGTATAATATCGTTGTACAATTGGATGACGCATCATCTTGAATAGTAATTGATCCACCCTTATATTTTACATCAATCTAAGAGTTTTTGTGGAACGATTTTTGCTATTATCCCAGAATCAACTAAAACAAAAGCTAAGACATTTCACATTCTCAAATTTAAGGCTTGGTGTTCACGATAACGTGTTGCAAGTCCGGATTTTTGGATAATACAGAGCCACACAGACTGCCAAAAGTGAAAAAAGCATCCTTTTAATTATGCAGTAGAAAAAATTAATTTCAAAGCATTTATTATGCTAGCTTCCTCAAAATCAAGCATTACAAATTTCGTCTTGGCATCAGCTATTAGTTCTACAATTATTTTAAATAAACGGGTATAAATGATAGTTAATTTAGTATCAATTATTAACTATTAGTTAGGTAATATTTATCCAAAACTTGGTTTTTTAACAGTCATTATTTAAGTAAATAGTGCTTCTCTTCGTGGATAAATTTAATAATTACCCTATACTTTTATTTTATGTTTACCTATATACAGGGTGGCGGAGAATGATAGACCACATTCGTAATGGGCGCCATAATTTTAATTTTTGAGGTAGAGAGGTGAAACAAAAAACAAGTTGTTGAAAATTGTATTGGACAAGAAAAAATGTTTTGTTGGGAAACAGAATGTCCGATAACTGGCGTTCTTACACGGAGATGCATTCTTGGAGGCGCTCGCCAAAGTTTTTCATCACTTTCTCTAACATTTCCACTGGAATTGATGCGAATTAACTTCTAATTGCGTCCTTTAAATCGGAAAGGGTTCATGGCTTGTTGGCATAAACATTTGACTTCAGATTCCCTTAGGAAGAAGTCGCACGGGGTGAAATCGGCGAGCGGGGTGACCAGACGGAATCAGATATTTGCAGGATCCATTTCGTTTTCCTGTACTATACAATATTATTATTTAGAAAAAATTTAGGTTATTATGGGTCAACTTCCTTTCTTATATTATGAGTCATAATATATCTATATAATAAATAAATCACACACGATGTTTATATAATTGACAAACAAACAAAAACCTGAACGAACAGCAATGTTGTTGAGCTGGGTGGCTTCCCTCGTACGACGGCCGGTCCACGACGGTGTTAGCGATAAGTGGCGGCCATCCAAATGGACATATACGGCCAACAACGGCCAACCAAAACACTATGTCCACGGCGATGATAACTTAACAGGCGGCCGACTGAACTAATAAGGCCACGGTGACAGCAGCAATATGCTTCAACGGCTAACAAGACAATGCGGTCGACAACGTGGACACGGCGATGGTTTAAATGATTTCATCGATCATTTTTGGAATTCCTAATTTAAAGCGTACATCATTGTATTAACTCAAAAATGTAGACTATAGTCTATACTATGGGGCATTGGCAATTTTTGCACGATAATATTGGGTTATGTTTTTTTATAACGTTAAATAAAATAACACTTAACGTCCATACCACACGACGAATACCACTGACTATTATAGAGATACTTTATAAAATTACAAAAATTATATTTGTTAGCTTGTTTAATCAATACAAAAATAACATATGAAATACATAAACAGTATGCCACTCCATGTAGCCAAAAACTAAAAGGTATTAATTTAAAAAGACAAAATTATAAACATTTTAAAATTTATCGACAACGGTGTGCATTTTTTTTAACAGATCTGTCTTTATCGGTACAAAATTTAACACTGTGTGTAGACTTTCCCAAATGATGGAAAAGTAGACAATATTTGTGTATAAGTCAAATTAGAGATTAAAATTTATTCAAATATTAAATCCCCTCTTTTT